GAGATCGCGATTTTCTAACGATTAATCGTGCAGCCCTACCGCCGCACTACTTTCAGCACATCTGTGACTCCGTCGCAGACTTTATATTTGCAGAGGCATCAAACGTCAGCTTCTGTCTCAAACCGAACCGACTTTTATATCGTGGACCACCGCTGATAAAGAGAGAGACAGAACCCAAACAGAACCCAGAAGAAGGATTTATTTGGCTACACCAGCTCAGCTCACCATGCGTCACCAGTGCACAGTAGAAACAGGACTTTAATGGAGCACACTAGAAACTCCTCTCAAGTCCACAACTGGAAAAGATGATTGAACAAATTTATATCAGATATTTTGTCGCACAGCGATATAGGTCTGTAGGTTTGTTGCAATATGAAAACAAACACATCTGCAAAAAAATGCAACCGGTGCATGAAACTGAAGCAAACATGCATCTGCAGTCTGTGGACTCAGAAAACAGGAGGTGTGGAGGACACAAGCAATGATTTGTTGTCAGTTTTGAGATCTGTCTGTCTCAGCTGTCACACAGCTGTCAGTGCTTCATGTCTGAGCAAACTGTCTTCCTGTCAATCTGTAAACCCGTCGGGTGTCAGTGTCTGCAGAAACAGTCCAAAGGTCAAAGAAAACAGAATTAAAATTTCACTTCTTGCTCGAAGCATGAAAACAGCTCGGGATTAAACTTTGTTGTACTCTGAATCCACCTGCTGTGGATATTTACACATTATATCGACCCTAAGTATACAGTACGCTGGTTCGATCCCTTTAGGGTTGCATCAGGAAGGGCGTTCGGCATAAACACTGCCAGATGAAATATGTGGATCTACCTGCTGTGGCTGCTCCCTGTGAGTAAGTTGAAAGGAGGTTCTTTGTTTTCTTTTATAAGTATATTGTGGTCATGATTATATTTGCAAGTCGATTACATCACGACTTTAAAAACGCCCCGGCCGCCTCCTTAAACTGTAACTGTGATGGCGATGTGGAAAAGTAAATTCCTATAAAGAACATAAGAAAAGGCACTGATATCATCCTCCTTCGTCCCTGAACTTCACCACATCCTGCCATATAAAAACATCCCCTCGACTCTTTGATTTCTTTTTTCATCTTTTCAAATTCAAGGCCGTTCTGCTCATCTAAAGGCCCAATTTATTCCTCAGCTGAAGTTGAAAGAGACTTTACACCCTCAGAGCTCTTTTTCCCAATGCGAATGCTTTCCCCCCCCCTTTTTTATGAGGAGGAGGTTTTCGTGAAAGAAAAGACAAATCTCAGCTCGTCAGCTTGGTTATGGCGACACCCGCCTGGGGTCGAGAGCTGGGATTTTCTCCGTGAGCCGGATCTCTGTCTCCTACGCATACATGCTTGCAGAGCTGTGAGGTTTTAAGAAGTGATGTACAGCACGGAGACGCTTGTTCGGGAGAGTGTTGAGTTGATGAATCTGGTTTTGTCAGACAAGTTTAAGGAATGTTTTTTTTTTTGTTTTTTTTTTTGGAAAGGGAGAGAGCACAAAACAAATTGCCATGTACTCCAGGACCCAAGAAAAATGAGTGGTCATCAGAAGGTGACATGTGGCAGGAGGGTGAGTGATTTATCCAAAACTCGGGAGCTGGAATCCAAAGATAAATTTCCTTTTGAGGCACTGGGCTGGGACAGAAGAAAGAGTCAGAGAGCCATGACTAGAATCTGTTCAGATCTCAGCAGATGAATCGATTAGCGTTGCATAAGAAACATGTTGTTTTTTCAGGTTTGGGTGCATCAAAAGGGATTTAAAAAAAAACAAAACGCGGCATTGTTGCTAATGTCTGATTGTGCAGTGTGAACCACTGACAGCTCCTCTGTCACAAGACTGTCATGCGCCTGTGATCCGTCAAGAGAAGCTTTTAGTTTTTCTCTCTTAAACTCAGAAACTAGTCAACATGGACCCAGGGCAGAGGAAGTCCGAACTGTGCAAGCTAACCCTTTTCAAAAAGCTCAAAAATCTGCTTGTGTAGATTAAAAAGAAGAATATCGTGCCTGCAGTTTCTGATTATTGCCGGGATCTTAAAACCTTTCCCATTTATGAAAGAACTTCAGAAACATACGTTTCTTTTCAAAGTATCCAACTGTTGAAATTAGGTAAATTTATTCGTGTATAAAGTTTTGGGCTACTTTTATCTTTGGTAACAAGATTGTTTGACCTTCTCGTTGCTTTTCTCCTTCTCCTATTAGCCATTGTTTTTGTGTAGGTTTATTCTTTTACTCTAATTTATTGAACTCCGTGTGGGAGTTTTCCAAGATTTTGCAATAAACAAGCTCCCTGGATACAAAACAGTTTGAGATGAGTTCAGGGTATTCGTGTTGTGCTAGGGGTGGAGATGACCGTCTCACATTGATTTTCTCTGAGTCTGGAGGAGAGTTTTCGTGGCCTCAGTTGTAGGCTGCAAAGACCAGCATCGCTCTGACTCTAACTCTGCCTGCCAATTGTTTACATATTTGACATAACTTCTGCTGTTGTGCCTCCAGGCACCTGCTGCGCAGCTCAAAATGCCTTGCCGGGGGCAGCGTATCCAGTAGCTGCTCTGTCAGTCTGCATCTGCTTGATAACACAAGAAATTACAGCTTTCTGTCCGTCTGCCTTCCTGAGTGAGATTTCTGTGCTTTGACAGGCAGTGGACAGACTGCAGAGCTGTTGACTGTGTTTTCATGGCAAAAGAAGCTCGTCTCACCTTGTCCTGAACATCCTCTGAACCCTCGTCAGTGCGCTGACAAATGTGGAGCTGACTTTAGCATGCTTTAACCAAGTTAATGAATTTATATGTATTACACTATTAAAATGACCCAGTATGCATGCAGAATATACTGTAGAGGATTTTGTTTCAATGTTAAATCCTACATACTACTGAAAAATCTAGAAAATAAGGTTAAAAAAAATAAAACTACAGTACTATTTATTTTGCCCCCCTTAAAAAAGTAAAAACTGAGTGTTTAGAGCCACATATTCGTGCTCCCAAGTAACATTCGGAGATAAAATATCAGAATTTCAGGAGCTGGGCCACGCCTCCAAGCATGACCCTTCCGGTTCTTATCTATGTATCACCCCCCATTTCTACAAGCTGTTCGTTCTTGCTCTTGTTTTCATGCCCCACCCTCCCTTCCCTTTTTCAATTCGTTCTCTTTTACACTTCTCCTTAGTCTTTGGGGGATCTGCCAGGCACGGGAGCTGCCACCAGTCCCCTTCAAGGCCTTTCCCAAACTGCAGCTCAATTCTTGTTTAAGCCATTCGCCTTGATCGAGTAAAAAATGCTGCCAAACCTAAAATGAGGACGTGGGCCCAGCTAGTGAATGGTATTTTATTGAAACAGAGCAGCACTGAACTGAACTTTATGGATCAATAAAGGGAGGAGGATGATCCTGATGCAAGATGCATACAACAATCTTGTTTGTAAGGTATCTTGAGCTGCACTGAATGTCACATGGTTGCTGATACGTCTCCAGGCCTGTGTAAGTGGGACCTACTGTGGGGAATAGACTCCACCTACTAATTGCCAAGCCCCCAAAATGAGAAACTTCAGTTTACAAAACAGACAAAAAGACAAACCAATTTACTCCTTTTTGAATTGATTTTTAATTCTTAATTCATTTGTGTAGGTCAGCCTATCATATTTGATTTGGAGAGCAGTGTGGGTTTTAAGCAGCTCCCTGTAATCGTCATTAATGCCACTGTGTTTCTTGGCTAGATCGATGTATTCCTTCTGTAGGTTGTATAAAGCCTTTGTGCTCTAATCCAGAGCAATTTTGTGCTCATTGTCACAAATTTTTTGTTCCTGAACCCTGGAGCTGTCTTGACCTTTCTGCACGGTCACAGACAATTCTTGCTTTTCTAGGGTTTCTATGTACTTGGCCAAAACGTTCTCGAACTTGGAACGCTGCTTCTTGCACGTCTTGAGCTCCTTTTCAAGAGCACCAACTCTCTGCGGTAATTGAGAGGTTTGTTTCTTCTTTTCTTTTAGAGTGATTTCAAGTTCTTTCTGCACAGTATCTCTCTCAGACTGCCGTCCTTTGAGCTCATCTACCATCTGCAGGAGCTTGTCTCGGTGCTGCTCAGAGAGAGCTTCACGTTTAAACTTTGCTCCACTGTACTGATTTTCCATAGCCTCTAATTTAGCTGTGAGATTTGCGTTCTCCATCTTTAGTGTCTCCATGTCATAGAGAAGATGCTCTGCAGATTTAGAAGTTCTTCTCTGCCCAGGTGGAGCTAACGTCTTCTCTGACAGCTCTTTCACTTTCATTTGTAACTTTTTATATTCTTTAGAAAACCGAGATTTCTCTTCCTTAACAGCTTCCTCAAGTTCTCTGCGAGCTCCTTTCTCTTCATCGAGATCGTTTTGCAACTGCCTCTCATTTTGGAGAAACTCAACTTCGTCTTGCAGGATCTGGTTTTCAGAAGACAGGTCCTGATTTTCTGAGGTCAGTCGATTCAGCTTTTGTGTTTTACCGTGCTCCTGGGAGACAATCGAGTCGTAGCTCCTCTGGAGTGCAGAGTTCTTCTCTTGTTCTTTCTGGACGTCTGATGCCCACTTGTTAACGTTTTCCTGCAGCCTTAAAATCATGGTGTCCTTGGCCTCGATATCATCCTGGAGCTTTTGGACTTTGAGGAGCAGCGACTGTATTTCATCGTCTTTTTCCAGGTTTTGTTTCTGCTGCTCAGTGAGACGATCCTCTAGTGCCTTAATATCAGCGGCCTCTGCATTTTTATTTTCATGTTTAAGTGAGGACATCATCAGATCTTTGTGGAGTTTCTTGATCAGCTTCTTGTCCTCATCAGTGTTAGCCATCACTTGAATAATTCTCGTTTTAAGGTCCACTTTTATCTTCATGCGCTTCAGTTCTTCACGTTTTTTTTTCACAGCTTTTTCAAGACGATCATTTTCCCCTTGCAGCTTTTTAAAGGCTTCATCCTGTTGATATTTAGCTTCTTTTTCTATTTCTAACTCCTTTTGGAGAGCAAGCTTGTCTTCTTCCAGTTGTTTGAGACAAGTGCTGGTCTTCTCAGACTTTTTAGGACCATCGTGCTGTGGAAAGCGAAAACAATTATTGTGTTGTCGAATATGTCAAATAATTTGTAGAGAATAGAAATATGTAGCTTTGTTCATAGTTAAATATTTATATTTTTCTAGGATGTTTGTTTAGTTTAAATTAAATTTGTCAAAGCAAACATTCTCATCAGGGTGTTTTAATTTTCTTAAGACAAGAGAATTGTCTTTAAATATAAAGCAAAACAACTATATTTTCTTAGCATGTTTCTTCAGTTGGTCATTAACACACACGCACACGTTGGGTATTCATATCTTGTGGGGACATCTTATTGACATAATGCTTTCCCTACCCCCTAACCCTAACCATGAAACATTAATGCCTAACCCTTACCTCGAACCTAACCGTAACCTAAATGTAATCTTGTCACTAAAATCACATTTTGAGTCTCAAAAATGCCTTGAAACATGTGATAACCATGATTTTGGTCCCCACAGGCAGTGTTGCCAACTCCTCAGTAAGGAAAATCGCTATTGGCTGTCCTAAAAGTCGCTAGAAGTCGCCAAATGACATCATTGCCTAATTTGCATAATTGGTCATGCTAATGTAATTGTAACCTACGTTGTTGGAGAGAGAAATAACATCGTGGAAGAGACATAAAGTGAGTAAAAAACGTCCTAAATGCAGTTATAATTTATTTAGAACTACGAATTAAATTTCTTTTAGCAATTATTGTTTTTTAATGTCACAATTCCAACCCTGCTCCCTTTATCTGGGCCTGGACCGGCAAAAGTGACCCGAAACTGGCACTGTGGTGGAGTTACTTTGTGTGTGAGAGTGTGTGTTTATAAGTAGTTTTAAACCTTGTGATCCACAAAAAAGCATAACAGTAAAAGAAGAACTGACTGCTTACAGTCAGTGCGGGAGCAGCAGCTTCGCCCGTGCACGATTCATTTGCCGTTTGGACGCACAGGTGTGAACGTCTCATGCCTTGATAGCAGCTGGGGGAGGACTATCCTCCGCTTGTGAGCGCTTTGGCACGGGCGAGGTGCCCAAGGCAGCACTGCTGCTTGTTGAGCTTAAGAGCGATACGCGTTTTCACGTCAAAAAGTCGTCATAAATAAGTCTCCAATAATACCGGAAAAAGTCGCCAGATTTGTCGCTAGTCGCTTTTTAGAAAAAAAGTTGCTAAAGAGGTCTGAAAACTCGCTAAATATAGCGACAAAGTCGCTAAGATGGCAACACTGCCCACAGGTGCTGTTTGTTCCCACAAGTGGGATTGTGAAGTTTTGGTCCCCACAAAGACATGTGCGCACATGCAGACACACACACAAACAAACCTCTTCACAATCATATTCATATCCCATTTCAGACTTGTCCACTGAAACAGGGTCTTCCTGAAAACCAGCAGCTCCCTCAGATTCCTCTTTGAATTCCTCTTCGAAGTCTTCGTGAGCAGACGAGTCTCCGGCCTCTTTCCTGGGGGCGTCCCAAAAATCATCAGATTTCTCAGACTCTTTGCTTTTTTCTGCTTTGTTTTCAAATCCTGACTTCTCTTTTTCAAATTTGTAGAGATGATCCGATTTCTCCTCTTCCAAATCATTCTCACAGTTCTCTTCAATGTCATCTATAATTTCTTCCTCAATTTCATCATCATCTTCGTCAAAAGATTTGCCCGGACCGCTCCACTGAAAATTCGTTGTGGAGGAAAAAAGTACGTCTATGCTTTTGTTGCTCATTTTCTTAGATGAAAACAGCTCCTTTGTAATAATTTCCTCTGAATGTCACTGGGTTAAAAACTTACGGTAACTCATGGTAATGCAGTCCGTGTGTGCCTGTATTTACTATCACATGCAGAATAGAGTTGCAGCAGAACATCAGACTCCAAGGAGAGATGCTTCTATTTCGAATGATAATAAAACGTTGTCATCACTGCCCAGTGTTGCCATTCTACTCTGCATTCAAACACGTTTACATTCTAAAGAGTTGCTCTTTAGAGTCTTGGTTCACCTTTAAAAAAAACCAAAAACCTGTGTCCTCTTAATCCTTGGCTTAATTTAATTAAACTTTACTGAACTACCTTTATTCTATATATCACAATGCAATTTTATTTTCTAAAAGTAAATTCATATTTCTAGCACACACAAGCCATCTTCCACTGTTTAACAAGACCAACTGGACCAGGTTAAAACAACATGCTGCTTTTATTCTTTTAAACACACTGACAGCTTCCTGCAGCTCTGAAGAACAGAAGCTTTAAGTTATCTTTAAATAATGTTATTTTCACAACAAGATTTTATTTCCATCAGTTTACCTTGTAATCTCTAAATAGAAAGGTCCTATAAATTAGGAATCACCATAGATCGAGTGTGTATAATAAAATAATATACATATAGAAAAAAAAGGTTAAAAATGCAGCTGCGGTTTTTGATGAAGTCACTGCTAAAGCTGCATTGAAAGCCTTGTTTCCCTCAGTGATGGTCATGTATCCAACAGTGCAGTGTCCCTACCATCTTCACTATGGCACTCTAGGCATGTGTGTCATTCATACTAATACAGACCTGAAACGTTTAAATGTGGCAAATATGCAAAAAAAATAAAAGAAATCAGGAAGAGGGGAATATTTTAATAATAAAGCAGGGTACACCCTCAAGGTGTGGGGACTTTGGCTGACATTAGTGTGCATATATGCATTGTTTAATTCAAAATAAAGTATTGGAACATACTTTTTTATAACATTGCACCGCCAAATTGGGAGCACATACTGGGTATATGATGTTTACTGTCTGAACTTTTCATGCTTTGCATTTGTTGATGGCAAAATTCCCCTCAGAATCTACTGAACAGCCTGAATTCAGAAGGTTATATGATGTTATAACAACACGGAGAGTAACGTCTGGGTGCAGTGCTTCAATCACCACATACTCCAGTATCTATCAGTACTGTGGCACAAAACAATCGGTGTATGTTTATGTGTATTCACGCTTTTGGTTGCAGTGACATTGCCCACTTCTGATTTTGCTTTACAGATGCTGTCTTCACAGTGTGCTTGGGTTATGACATCACTGCTTTTGACTTTTAGGTCCATCTCCAAAAGAAACAGCAATAACAGATCATTTTGTATATTTCCTTGTGTATATATATAAAGTACACAGTGAATGCTGATTGGATACATATGTTTTTAAAATTCTGTTGATTTAGTTAGAAAATGTTTGGTTTTGTTTGTTTTAGGCCAACCAAACTTAACAGCAGCAGTGATGCTCAACTGATCCTCATACGGCTTTAATGTAGTTTTTACATTAGTGGTTGTCTACCTCAGATTGCTCAATCAGTAACATTTTACTGTAGAGATATCTGAACATTTTTAGATCAAAAACATAAGACATCCCTTTGCTTCGTTTTCAAACAGCAGCTTTGAAATGAAACCCTCAGAGTGACACGAGGCTGTTATCTGTCGTGCAGAATCGATAGAAACTGAATGAAAGTGTGAAAGCTTATATTCTCTTTCATCGAGCAAAAGGTAAAAAACCTGTCAAATGATTAAATCTCTTTATAACTGTAAAGCAGTTTGTTATAAGGGCTTTCATTTTAATCTACTTACACTATCAAAAGCCAAACTGCAATGTAATCAAAACCTCTTAATGTAATTTTACTTTAATCGTTATGCAGAATGGTGGTGGTACAATGCAAGTATTACTATCAGATAAATGTAGTATAGTAGCAAGTGGAACATTTCTAATTAGGGCTGTAATAGATTACCAACAGTAAGAATGACAACACGTCATTTCTGATTATGCAGATTTAAAAAGACAAATGTGGTTTGGGAAGTCTCGCTTTGAATCCTTAATTTTTGCAGTTTGGAGGCTTCACAGAAATGCTCAAGGAGCTGTTCAGAAATTAAATGAAATTTAAATTCTTGGCAGTTTTACAAGCCTTTTTTTGCCTTTCTAATATGGGAGTCTTTGGGGATTGGCTTCATCAGCTTGTCTTCATTTCTTTGCCTTGAAAGTTGTGGCGTGGTCTGTGCTGTCTGCTGTTCCTCAAGTTTAGCCTTGTTCTTTGACAAGCCTCAAAATGAGGACTCATCTGTTTAGTGCGCCTGAAAATAAGAAAAAATTTAATATTTTGATATTCGTTGCAGAGTATTGATAAGAGGCTAATACAATATATTACTGTTTCTCCTGCCCTATATCTAATTCATAGTTTTAGACCTTGCCTGCCTACCTTCCTTTCTTTCAGAGCCACTGTAGCTGCAGTCTTGACTGACACGGTGATATAAGCCATGATCCAGAATTGATAGGAAAAGATGAAAGCGTTGCAGAAGTTGGCTTTGCACAAGCTAAATCCCCAGGTGACTGTGTTCAAAACAAACTCTGCAGCTGCAGCGAAAAATGAGTCCACATCTGTTACTCATCTGTTTTGCTTCCTTTGTTTTTAGAAATTCATGATCGCCACATACGCTTCTGTTGCTTCAGTTTAATAAGCTTTTTCCTCACTATGTATGCTTTGATGCTGTTGTGTCTGCTCATTTCTTTTGTTCTTTTTTTTCTTTTATTCTGCATAAGAAGAAAGTAAAGAAATGAGGGAAAAGTAAGCATGATTAATACAGTGCTATCTACCTACTATAACTCTAACTGTGGCACAGAGTAAGTGCATTGGTAGCTGCTGTTGTCATCACTGTGGGTGGGACAGGATGCAAGGCCAGGAAGTTTATTTCCCACTTTAGATGCTTTTTATTCTTTTTCAACTTTTTTTTCCTCCTTTTTTCAAGCAGTTTTTAATCTATAGTAAGTGAAGGCTATTGAAAAACGTATCCATAGCACAGTAGCACACTAGCTAGCACTGTCACCGCATAGCAAGTAGGCTATGAGTTTAAACCTGCTGTCTAACTGGAGCACTGCTGTGTCAAGTTTGCATGATATTATTCCCATGCCTCCATGGTTTTCTCCAGGTACTCTGGTTTTCTCCCACAGTACAAAGACATGCATGTTATATTAGATGGTGAATATAGCATGCAGTCCATCACAGGCCCTGTGATGGCCTGTGATGGACTGTTGGCTGGAACAGTGACCCACAGTCCTGATTGATAAGCAGTTAATAGCTGAAATTAACAGTTGTGGCTTTTCTTGGGCTCAGTGAGGGAATCGATTGAGACCTGATGCACCACCGAGCTTCTGAAACACTGGAAGACCCCTTGAGTATTCCTAATAAAATCACCTGCGGAGAAGAAGTTGCTTTGAACTGCTCCCTTATTTCCAAATGGCTCACCACAATGGATCCACATGTTTACATTAGACAGCTTTCCTAGGGCAGCCCTCCCAGTAGGAGTAGGAGAACATTAGGTTGTGACCAGGGATCTTACACCAGGGATACATAAAGTAGATATGTAAACCTCTGCATCATCTGTGTAGACCCATGCTAAATATGACAAACCTAAGATAGCACGTTGACTGACCTTAGCATGACTTGATAAAACACATTATGTCTTGATAAGTAAACTTAAAAGGAGATGTCGTGTGAACGGCTACACAGCCTTATCAAGTTTTCTCAACTTTTCTTGTTTTTTGATCATTTGAAACACACGTTATGGAGTAAAATGCTTATAATATCAACATGCTTAGCTCCTTTCCACCTCGGCTCTGCAGCGCTCCTTATGCAAAATATTCTGCCATCCTCCTCTCTCCTCCCTTCGTGGCTTCTTTCCCCGTAGCACAAAAACATTGAGCCAAGATGGATAAATACAGTACGGCACTTTGGCGGTTTCCTTTATGAGGACACAAATAGTTGACTTGCAGTATCATGTTTGCCACTCCAATGTAGGCCACGCCGCGAGCAGTAATCCTTCTGATTTATACCGGCTGCCTGCCTGCCGCCGCCGTCTGCTAATCGGTGTCAGGAATGTTTTACTCCACCGACTGCGATTATTTATCCAGTTTTTGTGTGTACATGTGGATTTCAGCACTTACAAAGCATGTTCTGCACACACTCATCTGTCTGCCCCCAATAATTCAATAACTGTTCCACCCTCATATTCAGTTACGAAGTGAAAGTCAAAATAGCTGAGGTGTTTTCCTCTTGGCGCCTGGCTGCAGCTGTTTGTTCACTGGTGCCTGGAAAGTCTTTGCCACCAAAATAATCTGGGTTGGAGGCAGAGGGACAGTATGTGGAGTCATCACAGAGCTTTACTAAATATGGACAGAGCTGTCATGGTTTCACACGAGCACCTGCTGAGGCCCGGCTGTGTAGCACGGTGTGTAGACACGAAGAGTGAAGCTGCACAAGAGCAGGTTAAATAAAGTCCATCAGCATGTGGAAGCCACAGCCTGACTGGATGTATGTAAAAAAGACAACAATGAAACTACCAGCTTTGTATTTTAAAGTTTCAAGTCCACGCAGGTTATAAAGACACACACCAAAGAGCAGGAGAGCTTTAATAAACTGCAGCAACTTCCCAAAATCTTGAAGCCTACTGGAGGACGCACTGTTCCACTTGAGTCTCTCACCTCTTCTCCGGTGTCTTCCTCCTCCACTGCCTCTAATACCCTCTAATTTGTTCCTGTCTTCAGGTAAAAATAACTCAGCTCTGCATCTCCTTAGCCAGCACTTTCCCGCTGTACATGTTTTTCTGAGGAGTCGCAGGAGTATTGTGTTTCCACTGCTGTCAGGAAACAATAGCGGGGACTCTGACTCGCAGCCTCCTCCTTATGGATTGAATGTAAAGCGAGTGGTACAGAAATTTCTTAGTGTACTATTACATTTGTTTGCTGTCACTTTCAAATGGATAGTCATTTAAAAATAAACTTCGCTTGGTGCCAGTAGTACCTTTAGTTACATGTGTAGAAAGTGTCTTTTTTAAAACAGCCTGAGTATGAAAAACAAAACTAATGACAAAGGGATTTAAATT